TTTTTTACGTTATCACAAATTTTCCAAATAAAAGACACATTTAAAAGGTTCACAAAAAAAAACAAAAAACGTTGGGACTCAACTGTGAAAACAGAAAAGGTCACAGAAATTGTGATCTTTGTAGCTGTAAAAACATGCTCTAACCCAGAGGTCCCCAACTCCCGGTTCAGGGACCGGTGCCGGTTCGTAGGTCATAGGTCACCAGGCCACAGTTGGGGAAAAAAAAAAAGTACTTTTTTTACTTTTTTTCATTTAAAGATTATCTGACAATGTTTCAAAACAACAGGTCATTCAGACAGAATAAAGGAAAGAAAAAAAAAAAAGATGTTTTATTTTGAAAATGTAATGATCCTTCAACGGTGGCGTGGTGTTACCAGACTCTGTACTCTTTCTTTAAGCTAGCCATACCAATGTTACGCCTGTGTTGGCTTGCTGCTACACGTGAGCGGACACTGTCCCAAAAGTGTAACTTTCTCAAAAGTGAAATGTTTACAATTAAAAGTAACCCTGCATTTGTGTTATCTCTTGTTTGACCACTGTGTGCTGCTGTTGAGCCGTAATAAAGCCAGACGTAGCTTCTCCAGCGCAATGTTGTTTTTCTGAATAATTTACCGTCTTTTATATATATATATATATTTATATATATATTTATATATTTATATATATATTTATATATATTTATTTATATATTTATATATATTTATATATATACTGTGTGTGTATATATATATATATATCTGGTATTATTATTATACAAAGGGTACCATCTTTGCCATTGGGGCTATATGCGAAATCTACATCCCCCATGGTCCTTTGTGGCTAAATAAATAGTGTAATGATCCATCAGAGATTTGTCCATCTCATGGTAAAGACGGGTTTCCAATTTTCGTTTCCCGAGATCGCAGTGCGTCGACTGCATCTTCCGTTGGTGCCACTAGATGGCGACAGACACACTAAGACATACTGAAGGTTGACTTCATGATGATAGTTGAATGTATGTGTATATATATATTTGGTAATATAGTGTATGTGTATATATGTAATATATGTACACACATTTATATGTATATATTCTGAAAATAACACGGAGGTGCCGTCCTATTTACAGAAAATTCCATTTTGAGCTAAAGTTTAGCTTTAACTCCCTTAAAATGCGTGCCTTTTAGGCCTCAACGAGGCACTCGCTGTTCTGTCAAACTTAAAAACACAGACACCTCGATGTGATAAAACACATTATACACACAAGTAGACACACACACACACTCACACAAATGTTTTGACTTACGTAGATCAGTATGTGAATTTGAAAAAAAAAAATTCCTTTTCAAAACTCACTGTCTATAGATTCTTCTGCCCAGTGTTTGTTTTTCACAGAGGAAAAAAAAAAAAAAAAGTAGGAAAATTAGGACAGACGCTGATAACTTGAGTCCGGACTAAACAGGAATCACATGCATCCCGTAAAGGCACAAGGCTTTATATCACACTGTAACACTGCTCAATGGACAATGGCACCACTGTTGAAGTGTCAGAGGTGAGAGGCCCCTTAACGTCTCTCTCTCTCTCTCCATTTATAATACCGCTCCGGGATGAGCAGAAGGAGAGGGGATTTATTGAAAGTTCGCAGACGGAAATGATGAAAAAAACCTACCTTTTGTGTCGCAAAAAAGTCATTCCTCGGGGTGTTGTGTAACGTTTTTGGAACATTATTGTACTTTTGTCATCCTTTCGGCTTGGTTTGTGACTTAAAATATTTTTTTTTCCACACTGACAGCCACTAGAGGGCACTCTAGACTTGTGTACCAGTATGCGCTACTCCTGTAAGTCGCACTTTTTTTTTTTTCATCCTTTGGCCGGTACGACTTATATTCCAGTAAAATACGGTATGCCCCACTGATAGGGGGAGCTCGCATGTCTTCAAGACATGTCTTCAAGTGTGAGTCATAGACAGATGCGGCGGGAAAGAGAATCTGGTGGTTTTCCCAAAATAAAACGTCGTTCAGAATCAGATAATAAATAATAAATTAAACGTAACATTTTTTTGGGGAACACTGTTTTATGTGACCTAGTTTGACAAGATGGATGATACAATTTCAAGATCCCCCAAATATTTTTTTTTTTTACGTAACAGTATTTCTAGTCAAACTAAATACAAGCTTCTTGTTTGGGGTCATATATTTGTGCGTCCAGCTCCAGACGAGACACAAGTTCCACACTGGACGTCACGTGTATTCAACGAGTAAGAGAGAGTCACAGTGAAAGCAGACGCACATGTCCATTACGGCCCTGTCCCATCAGGCTTTTTATTTACTTGTTTGTGCTCTAATTAGCAGAACGGGAATGGTGAACGGTAATGTTCCAGACACGTGTTCCGCATTTGTTTACTTATCGGAGAACATCCCGAGTCGTTCAGTTTGTTTTCATCACTTTCGGCCCGAGTCGACAACAGAGTCAGAATACCGTAATTCCTGGACTATTGAGCGCACCTGAAAAAAAGCCGTTGTACACGTATAGGCGATCTTGAGTTGACCTGGCGAGTCGCCAGTTGTGTTTTCGCGGAAATCCACGTGCATCATTAGACGGAGAAGGACAAGTGATGTTTACGCGTTTACTGCGAATGACGAAGGAATTGCCTCTACTTGGTCAAAAAAAGGTAAAAATCCAATCTGTAAAAAAATCCTTGTACGAGGTGCTGCCACCTAATGGCTGGAGGATTGTTTAGCGTTTTAGGCATTACAACAGCTGGCACACTTCAGGCTAGTTTTCCTCAATTTTTACATTAAGGAAACATCTCACGACCCTCTGGCACATCACCCCGTCCCCCCCATGGGGGTCCGCCCCACTATTTGAGAAGTACTGCCTTAAAAGTTCTTGCAGCTGTTTCTATTGACTAATACGTGTGTGTGTGTGTGTGTGTGTGTGTGTATTTAAAGCAAACAGGGATTGGGTTTAACGTATGCAGGTTAAGAAGAACAACCCCCCCTCCCCCCCCCCTCTTTCTCGGCTTTTAAACTGATTTTATTACCACATTACTCACTGTCAGGCGGAAGCAGTGGCAGAGAAGTATGTGAGCGTGGTGCAGGACATGCGTGAGGCCAGTAACACAATACTTCCCAAAATTTCTCTGCTGGGCCTCCTTTTGGTTCACAGAAAAAAAAATTGCGACCAACCTAAATTTTCCCAGCACTCGTAATTGCGTCGACGCAAAAGTTGCTCACCCGTAACTCAAAGAAATCTTACTTTGGACATCTCGTATCTCTAGCTACCACTTTATTTTGATTTCATACATTTTAAACGTAACTGTTTTTACGTACCTCAGACGTGTCCATTTTACGCTAGCGTCGCCAACTTTGGTCAGTTGGCAGGCGGGAGATTGCTGCTCCGAGCAGATCAAATTGGCGACAGCAAAAACGAGAGTGAGCCCCCCCTCCCCCGCCCTCCCTGCAACATCACTGCGCCCTGCCTAGGGGCCTCGCCCCCAACTTTGGGAACCTGTGTTGTAACAAATGCAGGATAAAAATTTTTTTTTGTTGTTGTTGTTTTACAAATGCTTGAATTGTAAACCAAATTTTTTTCCATCATTTGAAATCTTCCAGTGGGAAAAAAAAAGGGGCAAAAATTCTTCAAACATCTTACATTTGTTCATCAGATGGACCAAATGTTCCAGATGTAACCGACCGCTTTGTTCTAGCTTGCTTTTCGACCCCCTTTTGACACGAGACATCGGAAGACGAAAGTTCAAAACATCCAGGTCAACGTACATCCCTTTTTCGATAACCAGACAAAACTAGTGATATCGCGTCAAAGTTTTTGGGTGACACTCCGCGTCACTGCCATATCAAAGGAGTGTTGTCTTTTCTAAACCCTCCTCAGTTAAACGTTTACAGAGTGTCGGTAGGCTGTGACTGGCTGTCTGTTTGTTTTCAAAGACTCTTTCTTGCTCCTTGTGTAGTGACTTTTATGACCGTGTCATGTATGTATCGCTGTCCTCCTGCTCCTTGCCTTCAGGCTCCGGGCATGAGACGGAGCGCTGTCTCCCGCGGAACAAAGCTCACTTATTTCTCCCTCATATCTCAGGGCCAGATACTTGGGTTGGCTTTTGTGGCATCACATGATAGATCGCAGCTTCTAATAAGATCTTAAGAAGAGTCGCTGTGAGAAGCTTTGTCAACGGGGAGAAAAAAAACACACGTCAGTGTGGCGATAACATCTTCCGAAAGCGAGCGGTCAAAGTGCGAGGTTTACAAATTCGAGGGAATAACCTTATTCCATTTTGTTAGTGAGGCCTTTTTCGGCACTAATCGTAAATAATAAAAAACATGAATGAAAGTATATAAATACACCATATATATGTAGTGCAGTACAGTGCCCAACTTACGAACACAATAGGTTCCGAGCGGCTGTTCGTAGGCCGAATTGTTCGTAAGTCTATCAGCGGTTGTTCGTATCTACAAATGTTCGTAAGTCGGATGTTTGTATCTCGGAGAACTGCTTTATATATATATATATATGTGTGTATATATGTGTGTGTGTATATATATATGTGTATATATATAGATAGATATATATATACACATATATACACACACATATATATATACACATATATATACACATATATATATACACACACA